CCCCAAAACCCCAAAACCCCAAAACCCCAAAACCCCTTCAAATTATAATATAATTGAAACTTAGTGAAATGAATAGCAAAGACAGTTCCATTCCCAATTGTCAGCCTTCTTTGGAAGTTGGCGGAATAAGAGAGAGAACAAATCATCAGAGTCATGGTAAAGTATTTTGATTGGATATTTTTTACTATTTAGTTCAAATAATCGAAAAAGGACATTACTGGGTTTAAATATAAAGCTAGCTTTTAAATGCTATGAATAACTTTCTTTACAGTGTCCTTTAGGTTCTAATATTGTATAGAAAAGTTGATCCGAGCAGAGATAGATAAATTTATTGGCCTAAATCGATTTGGAACCTCCACATCTAGCATGGCAGATTTAGACTCAAGCTTATTGAAATTTGAAGAAAACCCAGAGTTTTGAAAGATTAGGTTTAAATAAAAATCCTCCAAACGTAACAAAATCGTCTAAGATTCAAAATTCTTTGAAAAATCAGAAATAAATTAAAAGCCAAATGCAGGAAGGCAATGAAGGTCTCTTCCAATTGTAAATTCGGCAATGACCTTTAGATACTCACAAGGTGTGAACCAGAATATCCTGGACTGGTGCTATTTTATCTAATTATTTTCGCTCTTTTCTTTTTATTCTGGTCTTAGAGCTGCCCAAGTATTGGCAGGATTTAGTTTTGAATTCTTTTCAGTTCTAAGTTTAGAAAATAAAAGCTTAAAAGTTATTACTTTTATAGTCAAAAGATTCGAAGAAGTTGCATTACAATCTCAAAATGAAAGGAAAGACATTAACCAGAGTTACCAGGAATAATTCAGCTCAGCAATCGGCTAACCAAGATTTGAAAAATATCAAAGCTCCATTTGGCTTTAGGAAAGGTAAAATATATCAAATTGGCATCTTTAGCTACAACTGACGCTTTATTTATGAATTTGAATGTTAAAACAGCCTGATTTTGATTATTTACTTAAATTATAGACAGTTCAACTGTTCTTCAAAAATAGAAGAGAAGTAGATCTACAAAATCCTAACTGCACAAATATCAAAATTGAAACTGAATTCGCAGTCAATTTTACTCCAGAGGTTGATAAGGGTACTAGGGTAACAGTGGAAGATATCGATAGCTTCCAATTGGCTCCGAATAAAGGTATTGTGGGATTACACGCACTTTAATTAAAGTGATTGGCAAATTCAACTAGTTTCTTTTAACGCATGTTTAGATTCAAGAGATACCAAACTGAACCCTTATACTCACATGGAAACAGACCCGATCAATTGTTTTTCAACCCAAAAAGTTAGCCAAAAGAAAAGCACTAAAAAGTAATAATCATTAAACTTGTTTCTTCGTTTTATTTTTATGGAATGACTGTTTTTGTGATTTGGAATAAAGGCTATTTTCCAAAACTAATTTTAAAAGTTTGACTCTCTGTGTTTAGTTACTCCAAGATATACAACTATAATGATAAATAAATCGAAATCGAGGTCAAAATCTGGATCAAAAGAACACTCAATGAGGTTTTCAGCAGATAAACTCAAGTTTGTGTCTGGAGGAGGTTTGAAGTACTCTTCATTGTCTTCCAAAAGGAGGATGACAAAATAAAGGATTAGAGATAGCATGTCTCATTCCGGCTCCCAAATAAAACTTTTAAATTTGAGAAACTTCAGTAAGCTCTTAGTTTAAGTTTGCTTTAAAATGCTCAGGAAGTGTTTAATAGTCTTAAATGTTTCATTCGAGTAATAATATTCAATGGTTATGGAAATTCTTCCACAATCCTTGTTTGACTGTTTAAATTTAACCAAAAACAAATTAATAAAGTTTGATTCTGCTTTTGTCTCATTTTGTTCAATCAGAAAGCCTCTTGTTGATTTATCCAAATTCATGAGTTATCTACTATTAACAATGGCACTTGGAAGATCTTTTAATGAACTATATATTAAAGCCAAAGAAAGTAGAGTCAACATTTTCTTCTTATCTGACCATTATGCTACATCTGAACTTGTTAGCATAAAATCTGTTACTGAGTAATGCTCATATAACGCTAAATGTGCACAATAAAAATTAGCATTGAGGTATGAAACTTGGTCCTGTTTCTACATGTTTACTTTGTTTCTAGCTGAAACAGAGTAAAATCTAAAGATTAGTTTCTCTTTAAATAGAACTTCCAAAGCTAAACCTTTCTTAATTGTTTAGGTACTGTTTTATGTCAATGGAGAATTATCAATTTTAGACCACCAGATTCTGAAATCATTTTAAGATAAATATGGGCAGTTGGAAACAAGTCGATTAGGAGTCTGCTGTCTATATAATCAGGCTTGCCATTTAAATATTGGAGTTTATAAGATATCTCATAGCTTAATAGAAAACCTCCCAAGTTTTGATTACCGATGAGATATTTTAGTAACTTTAATTATATTACATTGTTTTCTCTGTTTGAGAAGAAAGTTTTATTGAAGTTGCTCATAAAAATCCTGAACCAAGAAATGCTTATGAAATAGAAAGTGTTGATTGGAAATAAAACTAAATTATTTTGGTTGTTTTAAAAACTTGAGGTTTAAAATTATAGAGCCAAATAATTATAAGATCACACATTATTTCAGTTAATGAAACTTTCTCTACTTTTTATAGAGTATTTTATTTCATTTTAGAATATTGAGATAAGAGCTTTATTATTTGTGTATTAATTGTCAATAATTTTCATTTCAAGGGTTGTATTTTCAGAATAATTTCACCTAAAAACAATATTTATTTATGAAAAAATAATAATTTCGAGGAATATATAGCTATACCAAAGCAACCTAGATTTAAATAGACCATCTCTTCTATTTGAAATAAAATGTCCTCACATAAATAAACTTGCTAACTTGATAAACCTTCCTTACAATTTTGATTTAATCTCTTAGAATGGAGAGCAAATGGAATTTTAAAAATTTCAATTTAGCAACTAAAAATAGGTTCTTAAAACAGCACAGCAAGAATTTACTCTCTGTAAAGCAATTATGAACCTTATGTTTCAACTGCTGAAACCTTGCAGTTGTCACTGCTACTATATTATCACTAGAGACATCAGATGCTGCCCCAATTATTCAGCAAGCATCTGCAATTGGTACTTTTAGAATTCAGCTAGCTTAATTTATTTGAGGTTAAGAGTTCGGGCACTACCTTGGAGTTGGTGCCGAAGATATTGCTGATGTAACAAAAGTATATTAAATAATAAGATTGGTTTTTATCAACCCCCAAAAAGTTGTAGATGTCAAAGTATATCAGCCGAGGTTTTGGGGAAATAGTGTTGCATTAGTCCATATGTGTATTTATTGAGATTTAGAGCTAAATTTGCATAAATTTGAGTTTTTTAAAGTTATTAAAAATCCAAATAATAGATTGTTAAAATAAGCAGCTTGAATAATTTAATTGTAATAGGAGTGAAGAAAATAAATTTATCCGCCATAAAAATAATTATGTGTCAACATTTTCACCAACAGAGATCCAGGACATCATTCACAAAAGGAATCTTGAGAAACTCCAGTTTAATTCAAAAACGATTTCCCTCAACAAGTTGAGTAAAATAAATGGCAACAAGACTAGGTATAGTAGGAAGACTCTGTGTCAGCTTCGAGAAGCTAAGTTAAGGTAAAATCCTGTCTCAACTTTAGAGCTGCAAATAATGGAAATGATAGTTACATTAAAATAAAGGAAACTTCTATAGCTGGAGATGCCTTTGAGCTCAAACCTAAAAAGAAGAGAACTATAAAGTCTGCCGTTCATAAGAAAGTGCCCATTAAGATATTGGCCAATTCATTAACGAATTTTCAAATTCTGCAGGAAGAGAAAAACAGTCAATGCAGATTTATTAGTTGTAATCAAAACCAAGCTGGGCATAAGTTAATTGTATCTGGAGAATCTTGAGACATAGATCAGCTTAAGACTGTATCTAATAGGAATAACGACAACATTTTGGTGTATGCTAAGAAGAGAAGAAGTGCAAGTAGTAAGATCCAGAATTCTGGTTCCATACCTAAGTCTAATAAGAATCATTATTGTGCTCAAGGCCAAATTACAACTTCAAGCCAAAATGAGAACCCTCTAGACGAAGACCTTGGGCAGAGCACTATCGTGACAAAAGACAGCATTCCTCGATTACTGCCTAATTACCAAGCTATTGATTTCAAACAGTCGATTGACCAAAAGCTCATTCATGACAGTGTAGCTTCAGCCCAGTCTAAATCCTTTGAATTCAATACAAGTAGATCGGTGGATGAAAGTGAAGTTGCCATCAAGCCTAGACCTACTATAAAATGCGAAATTAAGACAATTCTGAACCCTGAAAACTCAACTATGAACTTCAACTCCTCAAGAGTAGATATAGCCGAAACCAAACATGGCAAGGCTAAAAAGAAGGCCAGTAGGAAGCGAAAGAAGATATTGCCAAAGTTTGGCTCCTCGTAATTGAATTTTCAGTGATTTATAGATCGAAATTGGGTTTGAATTCTGCCAAACAGCTTTAAGAAGCAGCTTAAGAGAGAAACACCCAAAGTTCAAAAATTTTCACCTGTTCAAATAAGTAAGAGGGCTTGTTTATAAATTATAGAAGAAATGAAGCCTGACTTTCATATAGCTGCTATGAAGGTCAAGAAGATTTATATGCCTTTCCAGAAGTTACCAGAGAGAATGAGGAACTTAAGAGAAGAAGCTTTTAGGAGTGTCAAGGTAAAAAGAAAAAGGCCATTTAGTTCTTACACAACCAAATAAAATGTTTGTATCCCTCAAATAATCATATTGGTTCAATGTACTGTTAAGACTCAGGGGTTTTGGGGTTTTGGGGTTTTGGGG